CCCCCCCCTGTCCTGTGGAAAGAAACAAATAGACAAACTTACAGACAGACAGGCGGACAAACGGAGCTTTGTGACAGCCGAGCACGTCCGTTCTGAAATGAGTTGATTTCTTTATGGCCTCCCCCGCCCCCCTCGTCCCAGGCCGACAGAACATGCCTCTGACCGTCAGGGGCGGCTCGTGACAGCAGGCAGCAGCTATTGTGTGGTGAAAAATTCTTGGCGCAACATGGTGTGTGTGTGTGTGTGTCTAAAGAAAGGTACCAACCGTTCAAACGTCGGATTTTCACCCTTTTGAGTTAAGGGTTGTACCTTATAGGAAATTCAAAGCTAAACACATGGGTCTTTGAATTATTTATTTTTGGGTATCTCAAGTAGTTTTTGAGATATTGCATATTTTGCGAAGTAGGATAGAAGTAAAGTTGTTCCCGCTTCCGATCTGGACATTGGGGATTGCCTTGTTAGTTAAACAACTTCCTGGGCCGTCGGCATATTGTGGAAGGGTGGCCAGTTCCTTTCCACGCCACCTTTACTTCCCCAACTCGAAGTCAGGTACCCATTAATGTTGGGTGGGCTGGAGGGGGCGAAAAAAATCCATGTCCGAACCGAGGCTCGAACCCCTAAAGTAGGGTATAAAAACATAATTATCAAATATTTCCTAAACTATTGAACATAGACTCTCTAGAAAAAATAAGATCAAGTTAAGAAAAATTGATACAAACTGTTGTGCAAAGTATAGATAGCACTAATTTGCACTTTAAAGAAATAATTGAGGATAAGTTGTGTCACAAACTTTTGACCGCACAAGAGTAACAACAACGTTGTAAGCCAGCGAGATAAACTGAGATGTGAGACCGAGTTTCTGTCGTGTGGCAACACATCGGTGAGCCCTTATTGTCTCTTTGGGAACATTTTAAAAAAATAAGCAACGTGCCCTTTTATTGTTGATAAATATTAATTTGAATTTGCTTGAAACTGAAAGAAAATTATTATTATTATCAGCAACCAATCTCTTGTCTACTGTACAGCCGACTAAAAACGACAGTTAGTAAATAATAATTTGGATTTGCTTGAAATTAAACAAAAAATAATAATTATTAAGAACAACGAATCTCTTGTCTATTGTACAGTCGACTAAAAACGACAGTGCCGGCCTTGCCCAACCCCCAGGGGAGGTGCCACTGACTGAAGTGTCTTTAGGCAATTCCCAAAGGGAGGACATTTCTCGTTCGAATGCCCAGTAGAATTGTAAATGGGCTGATCCAACAATGTCATGCTCATAGCTGTACCTGAACAACTTTCCTAAACCTTACAATCGTCATTTTCCTCTAGTTCTTTTGTTTGTGACCCGCTATTTCCGGGGTGCCTTGGTAGTCGAAGCAGACTTTGTGCTGTTGAAGCTAGAAAAGTGAGCAGAGCAAGTCTGATTCCCTGTGAAGACTTCTCTGTTGTTACCCATCTCTTGCGCTCATAATATGACCTTATGCAGTTGCGAGCGACGTAAAACGTCTACTAAAGCAAACAGGTAAAAAAAAAAGAGGTCTTGCCCAATCAAAGAACCGCCCCTGCTGACTTTGAGGCCGACTAGCTCTTCTACCTGGCGGTCTGCGGTGTAGGCCTAGTGGTACTGTGCGACGCTTCGAAGATTGACATCACTATAACTGTGCTATACGAATTGAATACACTCACAATTCAGGGTTATTTATATTAACGCTGTTTCCAACCGTAGCAAAAACCCGAAGATAGACAGAAAGAATGGATGAAATGGCGAAATGGTGTAGGTTTAACGCCCCCTATCAACACTGTTAGGTTATTTAAGAGGCTGGAGCTCCGAGGTTAACGTCCATCTCCGAAAGGACCGAGCCAAATGGGAAATTCGTGTAATGAGTCTTTCCCAAGGACAAATCGTCTGACTCGAAAGAATGGATGAATGAAATGAAAGAAAGAGATTAGCTATCGTGAATCGTGACTAGCCCAAGATTTTAGCCGATTTTGCACGTGAAAATATTTCACCAACCGACATGCACAGACGGACAATAGTGCAGTGTACAAAATGCACTATCTGGCAGGTTCCTAAAGGTACAAACACAGTGGATCGGCCTTTCACCCCCCTTTCGCCAACTTAAAAAAAAATGAGGAAAGAGAGGCGAATGGAAACGAACTTGAAGCGACAGAGTGGATTCGCCCACCTCCCCTCATCCTTTTCTTATTACTCTTTGAAGCTGATGTAGCCTCGTTAGTGAAAACGACGAAGTCAAATTTCACGTTGATATTGGGTTCATAGAATCAATGAACTCCAAGAAGCATTTACTTTTTGCAAATATCATCGTTTAGTGGATGATGTTCTTAGAAAAAACGATTTTAAAAAATTAATCTGATCTGAAAATGAAAGCTGTTGCATTCCGGCTTCTCCTTGATAAGATTCGACCTTGTGTAAAATAAAAACTACAATTTTTTAAAGATGATGCCAGACAACACCCAACAATACCACTATGTACACAGTGGGAACGAGCTAGGCGAATGAAGGCGAATGGAATTTAAGTGCAGACCTTAGTTGACGATCCCTCACTTTTTTCTTTTTTGCAGTATGGGGGAGTGCAGCGAAAGGTGAACCCACAGTAGCGCACGTCACGCATTTGTTGTTGATTAAAAACAACATTCGACAAAAAAAAAAAAGAGTGGCAAGGCGGATACCCCCAAGAAAGTCGGGGAAGGCGAATCCACAGTTTATTTCCGAGAGTTAGGTCAATAGACAAGACCCTACTGAGACGAGTACGGGTCCTTTGCTACGGAACCCCGATATAAGCCAATACTCTCTCTCTCTCTCTCTCTCTCTCTCTCTCTCTCTCTCTCTCTCTCTCTCTCTCTCTCGCTCTCTCTCTTTTAAACGAATTGGGACATTTTCCTAAATTTAGAGATAAAACTTACTTATACCATTTGTCGATGAATGATGATTTCATCACATTCAAATATCTAACCACTTCCTATGAACATTCGGAACACAGTAGTATTACAAGACAGTATGGAGAATCTAATGAGATGGAAATTTCAATAGCGCCTTCCCTTATGATGTAGAATCCATGCTGACTTCAACAGCATGTTATTATTAATTGGACTTTTCCATGACTCAGGCTCGGGTTATTAATACTTGTTATGGCTCAAAGTAAAATTCTATCATTCAAACCTTGGTACTAAAGTTTGAAAAGGAATTAATTGAAGAAACTCTTTAAACTTGAACAACAGTGTTTGATTCTAGTCCTGACAAGGACCAGGGAGGTTTCCCGATTTTTGTCCTTAAGGCGCGAAAGGATCAACGCCTGAAGAAAGAAAGAACGAAAGAAAGAAAAAAGGACAGAAAGAAGTAAACACAAATTAAAAAAGAAAGAACAAGAGACAGAAAGAAAGAAACAAATAAACAAACAAAGAAATTAAGACAAAAAGAAATGAAGAAAGAAATGAAAAAAGAAGGAAAGAAAGAAAGAAAGAAAGAAAGAAAGAAAGAAAGAAAGAAAGAAAGAAAGAAGAAAAATAGATAAAGAAGGAAAGAAAAGAAAGAAAGAAAGACATACAGAAAGAAAAGAAGCAAAGAAAAAAAAAGAAAGAAATTCCTTTTCTCTCACTGCGAGTGAAAACACAAAGAGGCCCACGTTTGAGGCACAGTCTGTACGTTCTTATGGTAAACGAGCCAGACAAGACCAGGCGCCTGTCAAGTTGTCATCGCCTGTTTCTGTAGATTTTAGTATTACTTATTCTCGTATGAAACATTGGATTCCGGTTTCAGTTTTAGTAAGAGTTTTACATTAAGGTCATATAAGTCGTGCCGAAGATTAGAGGTACTACAAGAGAGTAACAAACACAAAAAAGAAGGAGGAGAGATAAGGACAATAGATGTTTGAAAGGAAAGAAGAAGCAAACCACACCAGAACACCCGCCAACCACCCACCGTGGATTCCTAAAGTATTAAAAAATACACAATATGAAGATAAGTGTGTTCAGAAAATATTGTTTTCTAAGAAAATAAAGCAGCACATTTGCTTCAATTGACTTACTTTTTATTGTTTTTTATTTGGGTTTTTGTTTTGTTGTTTTGGGGTTAAAAATTATTTTTGGTATACTGCAATAGATCTAGTGCTAATTTTTAAAAAAATCTTTGTTTTGTTTTGTTTTTTAAAGTCGTTTGCATGTAATTTGCCTCATCATGTGCTGTCTAAACATTTTACTACAACCACAGAAAACGTCAATTCTTTATAACACCATTTGTACTCAAAATGACATATTGTGTCACAGCAAGTAGTTGGATAACTTTTTTTACAGCCTAAGAGAGGTAAATACAAACATCAGTCAAAAGTAAAAGACCTAGGCTTTTGATCTGTAACAAAGAAAGATACAGAAGGTCATTTTTACCATCATCTATCAAAATTTTTCCGTCTCAACCATCTTGTATAAGTATTCATACGACCTTAGAGCATGCATCAGAAAAACATTGAGTATGTATCTAGCATAAGATAATTATTGTTTATATTGCTACTCATTTATATAATGCAGGTGATTGTAAGCCTGCGTGTGTGTGCATGTGTGTGTGTGTGTGTGTGTGTGTGTGTGTGTGTGTGTGTGTTTGTGTGTGTGTGTACATGTGGTGAAACACTAAAGCAATGTGCCAGGATCTGGACAATAAAGATGTATCTTATCTTATCTTATCTTAGTCAAGAAATTCCGTCACAGTTGATGCTTGAAACTTGATGCAATTAGTTCTTTTGAGGTCGCTATTCTTTTCTGACCAAGTTACCTAACTACGTGCAGTGACATATGTAATGTTGAGTGCAAATGATGTCATAAAGAATGGGATCTGTTTGTGGTGATATCTGTGTTCCTTGTGTTTCTGATAGCATTAGTAAGAGTTGGGTAAAACTTTTTGAAGGAGAAGATCTGACTGAGATAAAATCAAATGAACAAATTTATCCTGGTCATCCATAGGTACCTCGAATTCTCTGAAATCGTATAATTTGGAGCTTTAAAACATTTCCTCTCCGCATTTCACGGGCTTGAGACCGTCACACCGAAGTGGGCTGCATTAAAAATGTTTTTGACTTTTGTCTAAGTCTTTTCTTTAA